AGAGCACCCCCACCAAGCACTGTCGTGTCTCAGGATTCCAGGATTCCGGGCTTCCGGGCTGGCGGGGCGCAGCGGGTGGGTGTCACTCAGGGTTTCTGTCGCCAGATGGTGCTGGAGCTGTCTCAAGGGCTCTTCTCTCAGGCTCACACGTCTGGTGGCTGCTGCCGGCCGTCGGCTGGGGCTCCATGAGCCCGGGCGGCTGGGCCACGTCAGTGACCAGACAGCGGAGCCCCTGCCTGCTCGGGGCCTCCAGGGTGCCAGGCGACAGCAAGGGAGAGGGACATGGTGGCGGTTTTACTGGGGGCTCCCTCACTGCTCCCAAGGAGGGGATGTCTGGTGGCCTGTCTGTGGGACTGTCCCTGCCCGTGTGGGGCAGCCACTGAGCAGTGTGGGGGCTCCAGGGCAGGGACCACAGCGTTCATGCTGCCTGGTCCACTGGCTGCATCGGACGGAGCCACTGAAACAGTCCACGACGCCCTGGGTAGTGCGGCACATTTAATTTCTCTGTACTTCTGCAGCCCCCACACCTCCCCCAGTCCCAGTGTTGGGGCCTTTGATGCTGTGTGGTGGCAGCCTCAGTGTCGGGGGCCCCTGGGCCCTAGCTCGCCTGGGGTCAGCTCACCTGGTGTCATCCCACCGGGGGTCGGCTCACCTGGGGTCAGTTCGCCTGGACATGGCTCGCCTGGGATCAGCTTGCCTGGGGTTGGCAGGAGCCGGCCTCACTCGGCTTGGGCAGCTCACGGCTTCTACAGGGAAAGCTGAGTGGCTGGGTAGAGAGAACCAACAATGGCTCCTGGGCTCCCTCCTGGTGACATGTCCCCAGCCCTGGGAGTCAGACTGAGCCCAGAGCCCAGTCCAGAGGACTCAGTCTGGTGGGCCCAGCTCCTGGGTCCTGGGCCCACTCAGTCTGGTGGGCCCAGCTCCTGGGTGCTGGTTCCCTCCAGGACAGCATGGCCAGGGTCAGCCTCGGCGTCCTCGTCTGAAACACAGAACATCACCCACCTGGGTGACTGTGACTGAGTGAGTGCACAAAAGTGGTCAGCCCAGCTCCCGGCACAAAGGATGTGTGTGTTTATATGTGTGTGTGTGCGCGTGTGGGTACGTGTGCACACGTGTGTGTTGTGGAGGCATGTGTGCATATTTACATGTGTGTATGAGTGGGCATGTGTGTACATGTGTGTCCCCCCCCAAGACCCCCTGCTCCCCGGAGCTGTGTGGAGGGGGGACTGGAACTGGACCGGGAGACAGTCCTGAGGTGAGCGAGGCCGTAGGCTGCATCTCGCGGCTTTCTGATCTGGATCAGGAGGTGTTCTTGGCTGCTGGCACCCAGGACTTCCCTCTGCCCCATGCCTGCCCCCTGGAGAAGGTGTTCGTGCTGAGCCCTGGGCTTTCCTGTCGGCTGAGCCTCGGCCTGCTGCCCTTGCACAAGAGCCCTTGGAAGTGCGATGGTCGTGGCTCAGGGCCTCCAGGGGAAGGATGCGCCCCTCTCTTCCGGATGGGAATGGCCCAGCGGGCACCCTCGCTGCTGCAGCCTCCTCAGGCTGCGGGCCTGCCACACGCCTCATCACCATCCCTTCTGTGACAAGAAAATGACAACGGGGAGTGTCAGCAACGCGCCAAGTTCACACGGCTCAGAGGTGCTGCCTTCTAAGAGGTGTAATTGACACAATTCACCACATGTGTTCAAGGTATAAAGTGATGTTTTGACACATGTATGGTACAAACCCCTGACGCTATCCCACGGTCGAGATGACAAGCAGGTCCTCACCCCTCGAAAGCTTCCCCATGCCACCGTAACCCCATCCCACACCCACCCCTCCTTCCAGGCTTCCCGTCTGCCCTCTGGCACCGCAGGTCGGTGAGCATTTCCTAGAATTGTGTGTAAATGGGAAAAGAGGCAGGTTCCTTCTCTGTCGCCTTTCACTCAGCGTAATTATTTCTAGATTTCTCCCCTTGATGTTCTGGAAAGGTTTGTGTGGAACTGGTGTCATTTCTTCCTTAAATGTTTGACAGAATTCACAACGAAGCCATCTCAGCCTGAGTTTTCTATGTGGAAAGATGTTTAAACACCAACGTTTCTCAAGGCGGGTGTCCATTGAGCTTCTTACATCTGTGGATTTACAGTTTTCCTCAAGTCTGGGAAGATTTTGGTCATTTCCTCAGATGTTTTTCCCGCCCCCGGTCTTCAGGACTCCAATTATACATGTGGGGACTCTGATTACCATGGATGAAGTTTTCCATCTCACTAAGGTTCTCTCTCATTCTGGATCGCTCCTATGGTCTCTCCAAATTCGCTCCCCTTCCTCCTACGATCAGGCCCTTCCAGCGGGTCTTGATCTCATACTTGGTGATTTTCTCCTCCAGACGCTGGACGGGCGTCTTTTTGTACCTTCCGTGTCTCTGTTCCCTCTTGAACAAGATGGACCGCGGGCTGTGTGGACCCCTAACCCTCCCCTATGCCAGCCTCGGGTCAGTTTCCACTCTGACTTCTCTTCCTCCCTGGATTGTGTTCCTGCCTCTGTGCCCCTGTGACCTTCGGCTGGGTGCCCGACCCTGTGGCCCTCGCCTCGTGGGGTGCTGTGTGCGCTCCCTCCCGTGGCTGTTCTTGCGCGCTGTTCAGGGAGGCGGTTAAGCGGCCTGTAAACAGACTGCTTCCTGCTAGGATTCGTGGCTATTTGTCAGGAGGAGCCAGGCAGAGCTCACCATGGGGCTGATCCCCCCACACCGAGGCAGCATCCCGGACTCCCAGGGACCTTGGGTTTGCAGTCTGGCTGGTGGGAATGGGCGTGTGCCCACCCCGTGTGAGCCACAGGTGATGTTCCCTCCGACGTCTCAGGCCGCAGGGCTTCCCCACAGTGTGCTGAGCCATCCTGTCTGGGGGCCTCCTCAGCTCCCCGCTCTCTCTGTGCAGCCCTCTCCTCTCCCGGGCTTTGTCCCAGGGCTTCCAGCATCTGCTCCTCCTGAACCTTCACTTGGGGGTCCACCCGACTCCGCTGGGGTCCCCTCCTCCCGGCAGGAAGCCGGGGTGACAGATGGCTTCCCTCTCCTCTCAGGAGCTCGGTGCCTTGCCGCCTGGTGTGGGCATCTCTCCAGCTATTGTTTCGTGTGTCATGTCCACGTGTTGGTTGTTTCAGGCAGGAGCGTCACGCGGTTTCCGTTCCTCCGTCTTGACCAGAAGCAGGAGCCTCTCGGTGCGGGCTGCAGAGCCTCCACCTGGCACCAGACGCTGCATCGGGACACGCATCCCATCCAGCATATTTTGACTGCGGTGTCATGTCTGATTTCTGGAAACTCGAGTTTATCTCCTGTGCTATGAGAGGAATGCAGCAAAGCACGTATTTTCTGTTTAGAAATCTTAATGTTTCTCCCCATTAAGCTCGTTAGGAATGTGGCAGTGGCCAGTGATCAGCCTGCACCCTGCACGGGTGTTGGTGTCACTTAAGACAAAGGTCCACTCAGAGGTGGTTTGGCCGCTTGGGAAAGTGAGACCGATGGTCTCAGGGCTGGAGTTGTGTGGGTGTTGGCCTCCGGCCTCGCCAGCCCTGCCGCCGCGAGGGGCAGGCTCTGGACACCCCTCTGGTTGTGTGTCTGACCTGCACCTCCTGATGCTTCTTTGTTCTGTCAGTGAGTGAGCGGCGAGTGTGTGAGGAAGCTGCCGGCAGCTGGGCTGAGTGTGAGCGCAGGGGTTGCGCGTGTCCAGGCGGTGCTGGGGTGTGGGCTGGGAGACGCTGGGAGACGCGTGGTGGAGCCCGAGGCCCTCCTCACACTGGGCGGGCTCCGCACCCTCGAGAGGACCCTGCCTCCCTGGCGTGGGCGCCGTGTGGCCGGGGACGAGCTCAATCTGGCTGAGTTTTAAGCCGGCCCCGGGGCTGCCCCAGGCCTTGAGCACTGCGCCAGGGTGGGAAGTAGCCTCTGGCCACCCCGCAGGCCCGTGACCGTCCTCGGCCCCCTCGCTGGGCGGAGGCACAGAGCTGCCCGTCCACCCTCTCCCTTTAGACCCCACCGTCGCCCCGGCCGCTCCAAGCCCCAGAGAAGGAGGTTTCATTCTCCTCTCCTGTTGTTTTAGAGCCTCCTGAACTGCTCCACGTCAAAGCTGCAGGGCCAGAAAGAGGTTCTCAAGGAAGCCCCAGCCCCGCGGCCTGAGCTGGCCAGCCCAGACCCCAGGACGCGGCCAGCAGGGAGCCTGGCCCACCTGCCTCAGCGCCCTCACTGGAGAGTCCACTGGCCCCAGGTAAGTGGCCTGTCCCTCAGAGTGAGGGACCGTGGCTCCTGGTCCCCGTTCACCTCCGAAGCTCCACTGTGGGTTCAGGAGGAAGATTTCAAGGAACGTCAGTCTCCCTCTGGTCCATCCCACCCTCGAGCCCCCTGAGCTGACATCCATGAGGTTCTCTGTGCACCTCCACCCACCGTGGACTTGCCCCTCCTCCTCGGGGCTTCCAGGAGAGCAGGTGTGGGAGCAGAAGCAGCTCCATCACATGGGGGGCCAAGACCCAGCCTTCCCTGCCCTGGGGTCTCTGGAAGGTGCCTGGTCACCCGCAGACAGAGTAGGGCATTGATGGCGAGGCGGGGTCATGCCTCACCCGGGAGCCACGTCACAGGATAAAGTGTTCAGTGTAGACCCCACCCTCTGGGCTCCCCGTGATTGCTGGGCCTTTGAGCTGCGTTTTAACTCATTGGGCAGCAGGTGCCTTCACACTGCAGGACTCTTTCTTTCTTTTCTCTCTCTCTCTCCCCCCTTCCTTCTTTTTTTGTGTGTAGAATACATTTATTTTTAAAATAAAATGCTTTCTATTTGCCATTCCCCAAAAGCCTGTCTAGACGAGACCCAGCTGAACCTGACAGGGGCTCACTTCCACCTCCCCATGTTGACTTTCTCGGGGGGAACATGCCTGGGGGCTGCCCACCAGGGCTGGTCCAGCCCAGCTGGCATTGACTGTGCTCATTTCTCCCTGACAGGAAGCCCCCAGCCAGCCCCCAAGAGACCTCGAGGAGCTTTGAGGATGGAGTCAGATGCGGAGTCCTCCACTCCCTTGGGCCCTGTTGCTGCCCCAGGGGAGCTGGACGCCAGGCCTGGCTGTTCCTCCCTGGGGCTGCCCAGCGGAGACCCGGGGAAGCTCCGAGTGCTGCCTGTCGGGCCCGGAGCCCACTGCGGGGACCCTGCCCCCGGGGGCGCCGGCAGCCAGACCGCTGCAGGGGACGGCCCCCTGGACACGGGTCTCACGCGGGAGCCGAGCGGCGGCACTAAGATCCCTAACCGGGACAGTGGGATCGACAGCCCGTCCTGCAGCGTGGCCGGCGAGAACTTCCCCTGCGAGGAGGGTGGCGAGGCGGGCCCCCGCCCCATAGTCCCGGGGCTGCACCCCGAGATGGCCCCAGATGGCACGGCCCTCCAGGAGGAGGCCGAGAGCGATGTGGGTGAGGGCAGCGGCGAGGAGCCCGACCCCGAGAACAGCCCCCCGAGGGCCGACACGGACCCAGCCAAGGTAGGCCGCTCTCCTGCCCCGGGCGGCGGGGGCTCCTCCAAGGGAGTTTGAGGCTTTCAGAGGCATCACCCACATCGGGTGCCAGTAGTGGGGTTCACGCTGTGATATCACTCTCAGAGAGGCCCCTGTGACGGGTCGGCAGGCAGGCCCTGGGGAAGGACCACCGGCTGGGGCCCCCTGACACCCCGGGCAACAACCTCACTCCTGAGCCTCAGTTTCCCCGGCCACACACTGGAGCCCCCCAGGGTGCCCTTGGTGGTTGGTCTTAGTGGTGACGGTGCTGCCAACACCCTCCGCTGGTGCTTGCTGCCCGCCTTGCGGATCCCCTGTGAGGAAGGCAGCGTGGGCATCACCCGTTTATGACCGGGGAAGCCCCAGGGTCGCCCATGGGTGTGGCAGGGCGGGAAGGGAGCCTGAGCAGACGGCCCAGGAAGCAGGTGTGCCCATGCGGTGGGTCCGCCCTGAGAGAAAGCTCGTCTGCATCCGTCCCTTTAGCTTCTCGGGCTCCAGGCCCTGTGCTGGGACTTGTGGGGACACGGATGTAAGGCAGACAGCTCCCAGCTTAGAGAGACTGCCTGTGTGCCAGGAGAACGGTGTGGATAAGCTGCAAGGGGCTGGGTCCCGGGAGAATCACAGGTGGCATCTGGCCAGGGTGTCTGACATGGCCGGCCCCAGGAGACAGGCCTGGCAGGCGAAGGGCAGCCGCGTGCCTGCACCGTTGTGAGCCAACTTCTCGGGAGGCAGAGGGGGCCGTGTTTTCATCTAGGTATTATCATTATTAAGATGTGAAAAGGCCAAGAGATCAGGAGACGACTGCCACTGAGAGATAGCTTATTGCTCAGACACCAAGAGGAGGGGCCCTGCCATGCCACGTGGGCCACACGGGGAAGCATGGGGCAGGTCAGGGGGCAGAGGAGCGGAAATTGTGAGCTATGGCCTTTCCTGTGGTTTCTGAGGGAAGGAACGGGCGAGGCAGGGTGAGCAGGCTCAGGATGGGCCGGTTTGAAGGACTTCAGCGGGCTCTGGGCATGGGGGCTGTCCCTGGACGTCTGGTACCCTGCCTGTGGGATTAGGGGCTAGTGGAATAGCAAATACAAAGGAGCTGGTTGGAGTGTGGGCTCTGGAGGGTTGCTCTGCATTGGGAAGACATTCTTGCAGGCAAGTCTTTATGTCTCTAGGAATCAACCAACCCCGGGAAGGACAGTCCCTCCAGGGCCAGCAAGAACCCAATGTCAAAACATCATAAAATAGGGAAAATAAATGGCATGGTTACTGCAGGCTCCACCTGTGGCTCTCGAGGTGTGCTCCAGGGAGAGCTCTGCGGGCTTCTCAGTCTCCCAGGTGCTGGGGGAGTGCAGACCTGGGCCTGGCCCCGTCCTGCCCGCACAGGCTCGGGAGCGCCCAGGGCCAGAGGCTTGCTGGGGAGTGCCCCAGCCTTCATGTCTGTATGTGAAGACGCCGACGCCTCTGTCGCTGGTGGGAACGGCTTTGTCTTCTCCACACGGGGTGTCTGGTTAGAACACCGTTCATCCACACGCTGGCCCATCCTCAGATGGAGCCCTGGGACCCTGTGCCTCAGGCCCCCCGCCCTGGGTAGAATGAGGGGGTGCTGACGTGAGGAGGTGATGCAGGGGTACACACATGTCAAGTCAGCCTTTACTGTGTGGAGGAAGTTCCCATCTGTCCGTAGTTTGTTGACTGTTTTTATCATGAAACAGTGTTGAATCTTGTCAAATGCTTTTTCTGCATCAATTAAGATGATCACGTGTGTTTTTTTCCTTCATTCTGTTAATGTGGTGTATTGCATTGGTTATTTTTCATATATTGAACCATTCTTGCATTCCGGGAATAAATCTCATGTAGTCATGGTGTATAATCCTTTTAATGTACTGTTGAATTCAAGTTGCTAGTATTTTGTTGAGGATTTTTGTATCAATATTCATCAGGAATAATGGTCTAGAGTTTTCTTTTCTTGTAGCGTCTTTGCTGGCTTTGGATCAGGGTAATGCTGACCTCACAGAATGAGCCTGGAGGTGTTCTCTCCTCTTCAATTTTTTGGAAGCATTGGAGAAAGATTGGTGTTAATTTTGCAGTGAAGCCATCTAGTCCTGGGCTTTTCTTTGTTGGCAAGTTTTTTTACTGCTTATTCAGTTGCCTTACTCATTATTGATCTGTTTGGATTTCCTGTTTCTTCATGATTCGGTCTTGGTAGATTGTGTGTTTCTGGGAATTTATCCATTTCATCTAGGTTGTCCAATTTGTTGGTATGCAGTTGTTCATAGTAGCCTCTTATGATTCTTTGTATTCTGTGGTATCTGCTGTGATATCTCCTCTTTCATAAGTCATTTTATTTATTTGAGTCCTCTCTCATTTTTCTTTGTAAGTGTAGCTAAAGATTTGTCAATTTTGTTTATCTTTTCAAAAAACAACTCTTAGTTCCGTTGATTTTTTTTCCATTGTTTTTCTATTCTCCGTTTCACTTATCTCTGCTCTAATCTCTAGTATTTCCTTCCTTATGACTGCTTTGGGTTTAGTGTGTTCTTTTTCTCGTTTCTTGAGGTGTAAAGGTAGGATGTTGATTTGAGATCTTTCTTCCTTTCCCATGTTTGTGTTTACAGCTATAAACGTCCCTCTCAGCACTGCTTGTGCTGTGTTCCATAAGTTTTGGTGTGCTGTGTTTTCATTTTCATTGCTCTCATGCTGTTTTCTGATTTCCTTTGTGACTGCTTTGACTCTTGTTTGGGAGTGCATTGTTTAATTTCCACCTATCTCTGGATTTTCCAGTTTTCCTTGTGCTGTTGATTTCTAGCTTCATTCTATTGTGATGGGGAAAGATATTTTATATGATTTCAGTCTTCTTGGATTTGTTAATGCTTGTTTTGTGGCCTAACCTGTGGTCTGTCCTGGAGACTGCTGCCTGGGCCCTTGAGAGGAGGGTCCGTCTGCTGTGGTTGGGTGGCACGTCTGTGCATGCGTCAGGGCCGTGTGCTCTGCAAGGTTGTTCACCTCCTGTTTCCTTATTGACATTCTGTCTGCTGTCCCGTCCAGTATGGGGAGTGGAGCACTGAAGTCTCCTACTGTTACTGCTGCACTGTCTGTTTCTCTCTTCAATTCTGTCAAGGTTTGCCTCATATATTTAAGAGCTCTGAGGTTTGGTGCATAAATATTTGTAATTGTTATATCTTCTTGGTGAAATGGTCCTTTTATCATTATATAATATCCTTCTTTGTGTCTTGTAGCAGTTTTCTATGTAAAGTCTATTTTGTCTAATATAAGTGTGGCCACCCCTCCTCTCTTTTGGTTTCCATTTGCATGAAATATCTTTTTCCATCCTTTCACTTTCAGCCTATGTCTGTCCTTAAATCTAAAGTGAGTTTCTTGTGGACAGCATATGGTTGGATGCCGGTTTTTTATCCATTCAGCCAATCCATGTCTCTTGATTGGGGAGTGTAATCCATTTACATTTAAAGTAATTAGTGATGGGGAAGGACTTACTCTTGCCATTTTGTTAGTTGTTTTCTATATGTCTTATAGCTTTTGTCCCTCTCTTACTGCCTTCCTTTGGTTTCGTAGATTTTGTAATGATATGCTTTGATTCCCTTCTCATTTTATTTTGTGTATATTCTATAGATATTTTCTTTGTGCTTACCATTGCATTCTATTCTAAACTTATAACAACTGAACTTCAATCACATATAAAAACTCTACTCCTTTACAGCTCCCCACACACTGTTATTGGTGTCACAAATTACATATTTATATATTATATACCCATTGACAAAGATTTATCATTTTTAAATGTTTTTATGATTTAAATTCTATGTACCAAAATTACAACAGTACAGATTACTATGTTTGTCCATGCATTTACCTTTATTGGAAAACCTCATATTTTTGCACAGCTTCATGTTGCTATCTACCATCTTTTCACATCTTGAAGGACTCCCTTTAGCATTTCTTGTAGAGCAGATGTGGTGGTAATGAATTCCCTCAGCTTTAGTTTATTTGGGAAAGTCTTAATTTCTTCTTCATTTTTGAAGGATGGCTTTCCTGGATACAGTATCCTTGATTGACAGTTTTTTTTTCTCTCAGCATTTTAAATATATCATCTCACTCCTTTTTTGATCATAATGGGTCTCAGTGTGATTCTTTTTGGATTTATTCTAGTTGGAGTTCTTTGAGCTTCTTGGACTTGTATGTCCATTTCTTTCCTCAGACTTGAGAAGTTTTTGGTCCTTATTTCCTCAGATGAGCTCTCTGCCCTTTTCTCTCTTCTCCATCTAGGATTCCCATGATGCGTATGCTGGTCTACTTGTTAGTGTCCCATACATACGTCCCTGAGGCCCTCTTTGTTTTTTCATTCTTTTTCTTTTTCTCCTCTGACTCAGTGATTTCAAGTGACCCATCTTCAGGTTTGATTACTCTTTTTTCTGCCTGATCAAGTCTGATCTTGAACTCCTCTAGTGAGGTTTTTAGTTCATTTATTGTATTTTTCAGCTCCAGAATTTTTGTTTGGTCTTTCTTATAGTTTCTATCTCTGTGTTGATCTTCTCATTTTGGTCCTGCATCATTTTCCTGATTTTGTGTAGTTGTCCACCTGTGTTCTTTTTTAGCTCACTGAGCCTCTACATGACAGCTGTTTTAAATTCTCTGTCAGGTAACTCATAGATCCGTGTTTTCTTAGGGTTGGTTTCTGTCCTTTGATTGAACCACGTTTCCCTGTTTCTTTGTAATTTTTTGCTGGGATTTGGGCATTTGAAAAACAACCACCTCACCAGCTTGCCTGCTGGCTCTGTGTGGGGAGACCTTCACCAGTCAGCCTGGCTGGAGGTTCTGGGGCCTCCTAAACATTCTCTCACCTCCCACTGCCCTGGCTTCTGCCTGCACAGCATCAGCTCTAACATATTGCTTACCTGTCTTCAGTGGCTCTCAAACTCCAGTGCTGGTCATGGCAGCCCTCCAAGTCAGGCAAGACAGCACCCAACCCCTCAGGCAGCCCCCAGGCAAGCCAGAACACTGGATGCTCAGCTCACTCTTTGGTTTCCATCCTGAGGGAGGAGCCCCCATGCAAGGGGTGTCTTACTGCTTTTGCTATGCATACTGCACAGGAAGGGGCATGGAAGGGAAACTGCCAATTTCCCTAGCCCATTTGCTGGACTCTCTTCTTGGTTTTACAGTGACTTGGGGGCTATAGCTTCTCAGCTGGTCTCTAGAGTTCTCACAGACATATTCTGGTCCATATATTGTTAACTCTGTGTCCCTGTGGGGGAGGAGGGCCTGCAGCTGTCCAGTCTGCCATCTTGCTGGCACCACTCCACCACACATTTTGATGTGGCTGCTGTAGCTGCTCTGTAGTCAAAGCCCCGGGAGGATCACTGTAGAGTCGTCTCTGGGCTGCAGGAGGTTTTGGGGATTTGCAGAAACTGTTGTGTCTTTCCCAGAAACCTCCTTGAAAATTCCATCTGGGATATGGAGCCCCATATCCCAGCCCCAGTGGCCTCCTCGGGCTCTCCAGGGCCCCTGGTCATCCCTGGCATGCAGTGGGTGGCCCTTGGCAGACCCTGCTTCCCGAGGCTCATCTTCCCCAGGTGAGCTGTGGCTCTTCTCTCTGCAGTGCTCGGAGCCCCAGAAGCTGCTTCACATTGCTCAGGAGCTCCTGCACACCGAGGAGACCTACGTGAGGCGGCTGCACCTGCTGGACCAGGTACCCCCCATGGCTGGGGTCCCACCTTTGTCCACTTCCAGAGTTTCAGTGATGAACTCCCGTCGCAGCATTGGCGAGCCCTTGCAGTTGGAGTACGAATGACCTGAATAGTAAAGCTTAGACAAATTTAAGTCTCCTCCAGAAACTCTTACCTTTTGCTCTCAGAGCCCGGGGCAAAGGTCTTGTCTAGTCACCTTGGGGCCTTTCTTCCTGGCAGTCACATTATCTGAGCATGTGAATGGCCTCTGGACATCTTTCTGCATAAATATTTGGGACAGTGGGTGGCACCCTCCCACTGTCCACTAGGCAACGTGGGGTTTGTGAGCACAGAGTAAAGCTCCAATGGAAACCCAGGGTTCTGACACATGTCGCTTCTGTTTGTAGCTCACAAAACAGAGAGGAAATCGGGACCTTCCATTTCCCATGAGGCATAGATTGAGGAAAGATGGCCTGTCCCCATCCAGAGGGGACTGTCCCTGCCTCACCCCCAATCCTTAGCCATAAATAAACCTGCTTTAAGACCACAAGGTTGTTTGAGCCAGTCTGATGAGTGGGAGGTTTACTGAGGAAACAGGAGGTGTGGCGGCCTCTCCTGCGCTCCCACCCTGCAGCAGAAGCACCATCATAACTGTCCCCGGTGACCCACACTTGGTGACCATGGGGGTGCTTCTCTGTGCCCAGGTTTTCTGCACCCGGCTGACGGCAGCGGGGATCCCTCCAGAAGTCACCACGGGCATCTTCTCCAACATCTCCTCCATCTATCGCTTCCACGGGCAGTTCCTCCTGCCCGAGCTGCAGAAGCGGATCATGGAGGAGTGGTGAGTGCGGCTCCCGGATCCCGGGAAGTGGGCGGCTGGTGTCTCCCGAGGAGTTTGGTTCCAACCCCCATGGCAGTTGAGGGTCCCAGTGATTCTGTCATGGCGGTTTTGTTGAATTTTCATTGCCGAGTGGCCTCTAAGTCTGGAGTTCACATGCCTGAGAGCCAGGCAGGCACTGGGAGGCTGTCTCAGGGGCCCGGGTTCCTTCCCCCACGGTCCTGGGCCAACCCCGACCCCAGGTTTCTCAGTGTCTCCAAGCCTTGGCTGCTGCTTCTGCACCAAAGGGACTTCAACACCCGCTCAGAAGCTCAGGGTTTGTAGGGTTTCAAATGAGGTTTGACAATTTGCAAACGCTAACCAGAGAATAAACCGTGCTGGTTGATTTATTTTCCTCCTAGTGTATACTCCACCTATGCTTTAAAAAGTGAGATTTCCCCCTCAACAGCGCACCTCAGACCCTCCTGCTGCCCCCGGGGGCTGCCGTGTTCCTCTGCTGCTTCTGTTCATTCTTAGCAGAGGGACAGCTTGGCGGCAAGTCACGATAATAAAACATCACAGGTGGGGCCCAGACTCCCATCCTCCACGTCCCTGCTCCCTCCCCCATCCTGGGTGCTACTGCAGCTTTGCTTTGGGGGCCCTGCTGTCTCCCCACTTCACTGGCCTGGCTTGAGCCAGCGTGCAGTTCTTCTGCAGCACCAGAAGCCCGGCCCCTTGGGGTCCCCAGGAGCCTGTTTCCCCAGCTGCAGCTGGGCCAGGCACAGCACAGGGGCCGGGGCTTGACTGGGGGTGTTGCTCCACCCATGAGGCTCAGCCAGGGTCCCTGTCAATTTGTAAATCTTCAGGATACGCCCACCTGCAGGACAGGCTGTCCTGTGGGTTAAGGCTCAGGGCTGGACTGGCCTGGCCAACAGTCCACACCTGCTAGAAGTGGGCTTTCTCCTCCGGGCCCTGGAGAGAGACACCAGCACACAGACACTTGTGTGGCTCCTTGTATAACAATGTGGTGATTCCTTGGCACAAATCCCACACGGTTCTGAGCTCACAGACTGTTAACGTGTTTATGCTTCTTGAATCTTATTTCCAAATCCCCGTCCAAACCATGTCAGCACACAGTGCTGCTTTCCCATGGCGTGCCAGCGTCGGACAGCTCTTTGTTCCTGATCTTGGCTCACTGAGAAGGAGTAAAAGGGGGTTTCGTTGATTCTCTTTGACAACTGTGCCCTTGTTAGCATCGTTCCATTACTTCTAGCCCCCCTGGTCTCGAGCAATGCTTTACACGATCCTCTCGTTACCTCCAGGTAACACAACATTTTCCACCCCACGTGATACAGGGGAGGTAACTAAGGCTCAGAGAGGGTGACCAGCTTGCCCACCATCACACAGAGCTAGGAGTCAGGCTGTTGCCCCGTGGCCCCCTGGTGAACTCCCCGTCCCATCCTGGCCCCTCGCCTGAGCTGTTTCTCTGATGATCTCACTCTCCTACAAAGGGACTCGAACCCCCGGCTCGGGGACATCCTGCAGAAGCTGGCCCCGTTCCTCAAGATGTACGGTGAGTACATCAAGAACTTTGACCGGGCCATGGAGTTGGTGAGCACCTGGACCCAGCGCTCGCTGCTGTTCAAAGACATCGTCCAGGGCATCCAGGTAGGGCGGCCCCACCACGGCCTCAGGGGCGCAGCGCTGGGTTCATGTTTAACACAGAGAAAATCAGTGATGTTGTGGGATGTGTCCAGATGCTCTATTGATGCTTTGATCCTTAAAACAACTCCCAGAGACAAATCATTCTATTTCACGGGAGTAGGAATCATGGCTCAAAGAGGTTGTGCCATCTGTGCTGTCACAAACCATAATTTGATAAAACCTGGATACAGAGGCCGGCCTCTCCCTCCATGATGTCCTCAGTGGCCAGTGTGGGCACTCAGGACAATGTCGCATTCATCTTTTCTTTCTCTTTTTCTGCAAACAGCCTGCGGTTGTCTCCTGCGGTGCTGGTCTCTTTCTTATTGATTCACCAGGTTTTTATATGTTAAGAATGTCAGCTGTTATCTGTCATGTGTCTTACAAATTATTTTTCCCCATTGATCTTTTTTCTTTTTTAAAGATTTTATTTATTTATTTATTTCTCCCCCAAAGCCTCAGTAGATAGTTGTATGTCACAGCTGCACATCCTTCTAGTTGCTGTATGTGGGACGCGGCCTCAGCATGGCCGGAGAAGCGGTGCGTCGGTGCGCGCCCGGGATCTGAACCCGGGCCGCCAGCAGCGGAGCGCACGCGCTTAACCGCTAAGCCACGGGGCCGGCCCCAACCCCATTGATCTTTAATTTTTAACTTTATGATGTTCTTTGCCATATGAAATTTTTAGTTTTTAAGCAGGAACATTCACAATTTTTAAATAAAGCAATGCTTTAAAAAAACTTCAAAGTAATGCTTATAAATGCATTTCTTACCCCATGATCATGTAAATTATGTTTTCTTCTAATGTGGTGACTTCATTTTAAAAATTAAAAATGCTGTCCCAGAATAGTTTCCAGATGGATTGTGGTATGAGGTAAAACCCAGTTTATTTTTGTGAATAGTTAGCCACTTGTCCCAACATCCTTTTGACCCAAGCGCCATGCACACACATACACTTGTGCACACTCACATGCTTGCACACGTGTGCACGTGCACATACATATACATGCTTGCACACGTGCACGTGCACATACGTGCACTCAGTTGGCCCTCCGTGTCTGCAGCTTCAACATTCGTGGATTCACCCAACCGTGGACTGAAAGGCCTACGCTGGCTGCGTCTGTACTGAACATGTACCTAATATTTTTCTTGTCCCTCTTCCCTAAACCATACAGTAAAACAACTATTTACATTGTATTCCTTATAATAATAAGTAATCTAGAGATGATTTAAAGTAGACGGGAGGATGTACGTAGGTAATATGCAAATACTGCACCATTCTTGAGCGTCTGGGGATTTTGGTGTCCGTGGGGGGTCCTGGGACCAATCCCCCGTGGACACCGCCGTCCGTTCCCACGTGCAGCACAGTCACACGTGCACAGGGGTGTGCACATGTGTGCATACATGCACACACATTCCTCACTGTACTCTGGAGGGTTAATGGGCACTGAGCCCGCTGTGCTGGGTTTGGAGGCCAGGCCAGGATTTGGGGTGGCCCCTTGACAACTTTCTGCGGTTTCCCCAGACTGTCGTCAGGTCACCCATGATTTCCTAGTGTGGGGTCCCAGATCCCACTGCGTCCCTCGGCTTCCCATCCCTCCCCAGTGGGGACAGTCCTGGCGCTGAGTCCTTCTTCTTCTCCCACCCCCCACCCCTCACTCATGTCTGGGTCCCCAGCAAACACTGTCCTCCTGCCTCCCAGCTGCGCCTCAGCTGACCCACAGCCCTGAGTGCCAGCGGGACCAGGGATCTCGAGCGCTTCTCCCGAGACGGCAGACTGAGAACAAAGCCTGGTTTCCAGGACACAAGTTACCGCGGGGTTTCCTCTCCCAGGAAGCATGTGCCCCGTACGGTATTAACAAGGTTCTCGTGGCGGGGGGTACTTCAACTTACGCAAATACCCTGTCCCTCGTGGTCCCCAGATAACACCCGCCCAAAACGCTTGTTTTCATGGCGTCTCTTCCAGCCTGTTGTGTCCAAGGCTCGTCTGAACAGGAGGCCCTTCTGTTCCGGGCCCTGAGCCGGGCGAGGGTGGCAGATGGGTGGGGAAGCAGGTGGCCAGTGGGACAACCTGGATGACGCAGTGACTCCCCAGGCTGGCGCAGGGGGTGAGGTCCGGGGTCTGGAAGAGGAGTCTGTGCTTCAGGAAGAGGGCAGGAGCCTGAGGGCCGTGCTGGGCAGCGGCGGGGCCCCTGCAGCACCCCCACCGAACACTCCCTGTTGCATTCATAAATGGGAGGAATCGACACCCTCAGAGTGGCCTCCAGGCCCGTCCCCTGGATCTCCGCTGTCGGGAGAGCTGGGGAAGCAGCCCCAGGCCCCGAGGGTGAACGTGAGTGGGGCGGTCACCCTGAGGGAAGGCACACTCTTCTCCAAGCCCTTGTCTTCTCCAGCAAGCCTGGGTGGGAAGGAGGCAGCACTGGGTCTGGAGCAGGCTCACCTGGGGTCCAGGTCCTGCTCCGTTGTTCAGCCTCTCTGAGCCTCAGTTTCCCCTGCGTAAATGTGTCTGCAGTCAGTGGCGTGCAAGTGCTCCGGGCAGCTGCCTGGGGGCCATGGTTGCCGCAGGCTGGGGCGGGGCCCGGTGTCCACGCATGTGTCCGTGGGTGCCCACGCCCTCTGTCTCCCCACAGAAGCAGGGCGTGTGCGGGAACCTGACGCTGCAGCACCACATGCTAGAACCCGTGCAGAGGATCCCCCGCTACGAGCTGCTGCTCAAGGACTATCTGAGGAGGCTCCCAGGGGACGCCCCGGACCGGAAGGACGCAGAGAGTGAGCCAGCCCCGGCCACCAGGCCCAGGGGCTCCTGGGGAGTGGGAGCTGGGATCCCAGCCGAAAACCCACATCAAGAGAGAGACAGAGAGACGGAGAGAGAGACAGAGACAGACAGAGAGACAGAGAGACACAGAGATAGAGACAGAGACAGAGAGAGACAGAGAGACGGAGAGAGAGAGACAGAGAGACAGACATAGATGGAGATAGAGAGACAGAGACAGAGAGACAGAGACGGAGGGCAGGGAGAGAGCTCCAAGCACCCCGTAAACACGTCTTGGGAAGTGACTGAGAGCTCTGAGGGCAGAGGAAAGCTGCCCCGGCCCTTGCCGCAGTGGGAGGGGTGGACGCTGGTTCCGGGAGGGGTCTGCTGGGTGCGAGCGGAGCTTAGGAGGGGCTGCATGGGAGGTGGCGGGGACTGCTCTTGGTCCTTGGGCAGCAGCCAGCAGCCAGCACAGGGCAGGGGTCTGTGCAAAGGATTGGGGTGCAAGCTCAGCAGGCCCCCACAGACGGGGTGTCAACAGGGTCGCACCCGGCAAGCCTGGCGAACAGCCCTGGGTGCCAAGAGGAAGGGCGGAGCAGGATAGAACCTGACATCCGGCCTCAAGGGGCCGGACTGTGCGGAGCCACCAGGAGCCCTGCAGCCTGACTGTGCAGCCTCCTCCTGCAGGGTCCTTGGAGCTCATCTCCACAGCCGCCAACCACTCCAACGCTGCCATTCGGAAAATGGTGAGTGTGGGGCTCCCGGACGATGCCCGCGGGGCCCGCAGTGTGGTGCAGGGGGAGCAAGGGGCGGGACAGGTGCCAACGGCATGCACACTCACCCACCTGTCCTCAGGGTGGACGGGGCTGGACAAGCCTGCCCCTTACTAGCTCAGTGATTGTGGGTAAGTTATTTAGGATCCATGCCTCAGTTTCCCCATCAGTAAAATGAAGTCACCAACAGCGCCTGTCTCGTCAGGCTGTTGTGGGGAATAAGTCACTTTGAAGGAAGCTCAGGACAGGGCCCAGCACAGTAGGGTTAGCTCTCAGTGTTCCCATCGTTCCTTCACTCATTTGTTCAAGCTGTCTCAGCTGGGTCTGCCGTAACAAAATACCACAGACGGGCGGCTTAAACAGCAGAGATTATTTCTCACAGTTCTGGAGGCTGGAAGTCTGAGATCAAGGTGCCGGCTGATTCAGTTCCTGGCTTGCAGGGGCCACCTTCTGGCTGTGTCCTCATATGGCAGAGGCAGGCGAGCTCCCTGGTGTCTCTCCCATCAGGCTCTAATCCCATCCTGGGGACCCTGCCCTCATGACCATGACCTCCTCTAAACTTCCTCACCTTCTAAAGGCCCCACCTCCAAGTACAGCCTGAAGGTGGAGGAGACAGTGTCCCCTTGTTGATCTGAATGCCTCTGTGTAACAGGGTCTGCAGATCGGGAAGGCGCCCTTGAGCCCACACTGACGCCCTGTGACCCAGGTGGCCCTGTGCTCACAGGCCGTCGTTTGGCCCAACACTGCCCGGGCAGGCTGTAAGAATTTCTAAGTCCTTGCCCAGCATTACAGATCAGGGCATTTCACAGGAGAACCCAAATTCCTTGCTTTACTGGAAACCTCCAGAAGCCCCGGACCCACATTGCAACCTACAGCTTCAGTTGGGGTGACACAGCGTCCCCTCAATGGGCTCACTCTCCAAGCCACCACAGTCCCCACCTGGCCCTGGTGTCACCCAATCCTGAGACCTGTTTACCTTCACACGAGCACTGTTGTTTTTTGAGAGGAAAAAGAAAGTGAAATATTTCTTTGATCCCACGTCTCTTAAAAGCGAGAAATGAGAGGCAGGACGCACATCCTGTGTCCTCGTTACCAGCTTGTCCCCGAGTTTGGGTCTGGAGCCCCTGCAACAGGTGGGCCTGAGGTTGGGCCCACTGTGGGGCATCCACATTTCACTCTGGGTCCTTTTTTTTTTGAAGAAGAAGATCAGCCCTGAGCTAACATCCATGCCAACCCTCCTCTTTTTGCTGAGGAAGAACGGCCCTGAGCTAACATTCATGCCCATCTTCCTCCACTTTATATGGGACGCAGCCACAGCAGGGCTTGACAAGTGGTGTGTCGGTGCGCAACCGGGATCCGAACCCTGGCCGCCATCAGCGGAGCACGTGCACTTAACCACTACACCACGGGGCCGGCCCCTCACTCTGGGTCCTTTTCATCTAATTTCCCTTTTTTCCTCCCAAGACTAATCTAATGGGGAGACTAATCTGCTTCAAGGAACTCTGTGGTCATGAGCTTGCATGGCCCCTGTGGACATCTGGGGAGCCCCCACAGGCCTACATCTCTGAGGGGCGTCAACGAGTCTTGGGGCCTCCCCCTCAGGGTCCCACCTGTAGCATGCTTGCCTCATGGTAGTTCTCTCCCCAAGTCTGGTGAGGCCTCTGCCCACCAGGTGTGGTAGGCAGGGGGTTCTGGTGTGGGGCGAGGTCTGACCCCAGGGCATGGCCCTAAAATTACCAGTATGTGCTCACTGGAGCCTGTTCGTGCTTCCCCTCCCCTGCCCCCAACCTGGACCACCACACCAGCCTCCCCACCTCCAGTCTCCCTGTCTTCTGATCCACCCTCCTCTGCTCAGAGCTGTCTACGGGCACCAACCAGTCGTGAGGCCAGAGGGAGATGGCCTGGGGATGGCAGTGGTCTGGTGTTTTGATGGCCCTGGGCCACATGGTCTGAGGCTGGAGCAGGAACAAGGCAAGGCCACCAGAGGAGGGGGGACCGTCCATGATGAGCTGAGCTGCCTGATGTGTCTCCTCTGACCGCATTCCATTTGAGGTCATGGAAGGGCACCCTAGAACGAGCTGCGTGCAGTGCAGACGCTGAGGGCCAGGCCCAGTTCTCCAGAGGAAACACCGCCAGCAACTCACTGAGTTCTCTGTGCCTGTTTCCTTGTTTGTCAATTGGGTAATAATGGCACCCACCTCTTTGGGTCAGTACTGGAATTAAATGAATTAGTACCTCATTGTGTGTAGGACAGGGCCTGGTGCTCGCTGTTGCTGTTATTGTTATTTCTTGCTCTCTGCATGGTGAAGTTCTATTCATCCTTCACTGCCCAACTTGAGTGTCACCTCGTGTGTTCCCTTCCACCTTGTTGTCAGCAGGCTCCTTGCCCCATCTTGGTTCTGGATCACCCTTGCAGAGCAGGGCTCGGCTCACCTCTGGGTCCCCAGCAGCACCCCCCGCAGGCCTCTGGCCCCAGTGCCGCGCAGCTGCCTGAGTCCTGTGTCTCTCGCAGGAGAAGATGCACAAGCTCTTGGAGGTGTACGAGCGCCTGGGTGGGGAGGAGGACATCGTCAACCCCGCCAACGAGCTGATCAAGGAGGGCCACATCCAGAAGCTGTCTGCCAAGAACGGCACCGCCCAGGACCGCCACCTCTTCCTGGTGAGCCCCGCCCGCCACACAGGGCCAGACGCGGAGCCGGCCAACGGCCACTCCCCCACCCCGCCCAGCTGCAGAACCACGCCCTCCCAGCTGCAGAACCACGCCCCGCCCCGCCCGCCCCGCCCAGCTACAGAGCCACGCCCAGCTGCAGAACCACGCCCCCCCCAGCCACGCCCTCCCAGCTACAGAGCCACGCCCCTTCCCCGCCCCGCCCCGCTACAGACCCACGCCCCTCACAGCCGCACCCAGCCACAGAGCCACGCCCCCCACCTGGCCGCCGAGCCCCGCCCCGCCTCCTCCCTGGGGCGCCTTCTTTGTGGGGTCCCCCGCCCCTCACCATGCCGGTCCCTACTGCAGTTCAACAGCATGATCCTTTACTGTGTGCCCAAACTGCGGCTCATGGGCCAGAAGTTCAGTGTCCGAGAGAAGATGGACATTTCGGGCCTCCAGGTGGGTGAGCCCCTCCCTGCCCACCTGCTCCCCTGGGAGGGCACGGAGCAGGGGCGGGACCCCCGGCTCTGGCCCCGCCGCACTCGCCGCAGTGCACCTGGCTGCACGCCCTTCTTCGAGCTTCGGCTCTGTTGGTGACCCAGGCGTGGCCCGACATCTCTGAGGGCGCCTGGGCCCTGGCACCCTGGCCTGGGGGGCAGGCTCCCCTGTCCCTCTACTTGGCCCACCTGCCAGGGTGCTGCCAGCCTCGTGCTCGCGGGAGGAAGGACAGCGCCAGCGCCTGGGCCGAGCTCTGTCCCCTGTGAGGTCAGCACTCAGGGCCTCATTTACAGACCCGAGGTTGAAGCTGGGGGTGAAAGCAGACCGGGCTCCCACCCTGCCTGGTCCTCGGTCTCTGGTTCTGTGCTCTTTCCTCTCCTGCACCACCTTGGAGCCCAGTCAAGGCTCTGCAGGCACCTATGCGCGAGGTCCAGACGACCTGTTGTTCTTACTGTCCCCATTCCCAGAGCCCGTCCATGTCTCCTGGCCTGGGGGCCTGGACCTGGAATCAGTCTCCCTCTCCTGTGGGGAAGGGCTTTGATTTAATGGGTGTTCCCAAAATACTGGCTAATCAAAGTATTTCATCAGTTCTAAAGAGTGAAGGTTTTCCTTAGTGATATGAAAAAATCCCTTCTTACCTTGAAATTCTCTGAATCCAGGTTTAAGAAACATCATTAAAGGCAGTGACTAACTAGAAAAAAATCCTTTTTTCTGTAGTTGGAAGAAACCATCTTTCTAGTGTTTCTCTGTAAGAAATCAGTCATGTTTAATCAACTGGACATGTTAACGCAGAAGTTCTCAACCCTGGGGTCTTGGGGAAAGTCCTGCAGTGAGGCCCGGCCTGAGATTCTGGGTGGCCCTACAGCACCGTGGTGGTTCTGACGGTGGCCGCCTGAGGACCACTGGGAGCCACTATACCTGCTGTGTGCCCTTTAATCCTGTCCAGCGATAGTGGGTGGGGTCCGTGAAGAAATCACCCCATTGCATCCATTTTCCTGTTTATCATTTCTCAGCTCGGGGCGTGGGGTGCGTCCTAGTCACCTGCCCATCGGGTTCTTTCCTCTCTCAGGGGGACAGCCAATGGCCGTGGGGGTGGGGAGTCGGGGGATGAGGGTGGCTCCCCTTTGCAGGGGCTGGCGGCTCCGAGGCACCTGCCCACCGGGGCTCAGAAACGCCTCAAGCAGTGGGGATCCTTCTGGCTCTTCTCCTAGGACTCCCATCCCTCTGTCAGGGGTCACACATGCCTGTGGGCGCCTTGGTGGGGAAAGGCTCGGCCCGTCTGGAGGCTGGCGGCAGACTTCCCAGGAAGCCCGAGGGCGGGTGGGTTTGGCTGCACAGTTCCACAGGTGGATGAGTGGTCCTAGCCCTGCCCCAGCAGGACAGTGGTCCACCCTCCCCCATGGACCGGCTCATGTGGCGGCCGACCCGCTGGGTCACCTCCGCCCCTCCTCAGGGCAGACCTGAGACCGTGAGGCCTCGCTTGGGTCAGGACCTGCTGAGTGACCAGCTGTTTTTGTCTGGTCCTGGGTCGTGGGCCTTTAGGTGCAGGATGTCGTCAAGCCAAACACGGCGCACACGTTCATTGTCACGGGGAAGAGAAGGTCCCTGGAGCTGCTGACCCGGTGCGTGCTGTCTCTCCGTCCGCTCTGTGTGGCCGTCTTGACCTGGAGTTTTAGCACCTAGCTTTCTTTTCTAAGCTGGACAGCCTTGTGATGTGTCTTTATTTTTCATTTTATTCACTTATTTGTGGTTTAACGTAAATGTCCCAGGGGAAGTCAGTGAAAATTGTCTCTGCCCACCGCTGTTCCCCACCCCAGTGGACCCTCTTAACCATCTCTGAAGTGTCCTTACAGATATTCTATGCTCATACATAGATACCTGTTTTCAAGTCACAGATAGCTGTTTACTGTGTAGCCATTACTGTTCTACGTCTTGCTGTTTTCGCCTCATTTATCAGAAATCATCCCATATCCAAGCACCGTTTCCTGAAGCAGCGTAATTCTCCATCATGATCATTGACAGTTCCCATTGACGGGCGCTAGGCTCGTCCTGGGTCTTGCTGTTGCAAATGGTGCTGCAAGCAGAATCCTCAAACCAGGTTTTGTGCGTATGTGTTATTAAATCCATCAGATAGATTCCTGAAGTAGCACGTCTGCTTTAAATTTGGGTGGCTATTGTCATACTACCGTGTCAGGCAGTACCAGGCTTGCGCTCTGCATGGGAGATCCCGTCTGTCACTTCCACCAGTGATGTGAGATCTTTGTAATGACCCACTGTGGTCCAGGGAGGTGTTGATTTATATCCACTGCTGAGGGCTCTACACCACACCTGGCCACACCTGACCCCACGTGGCCACACCTGATCCCACCTGGCTGCACCTGACTCCACCTGGCCACCCCTGCCCCCATCTGGCCACACCTGACCCTACCTGGCCACGCCTGACCCCACCTGGCCACACCCGGCCTCACCTGATCCCACCTGGCTACACCTAACCCTATCTTCCCGCAGCTGACCCCACCTGGCCACACCTGACCCCATTTGGCTGCACCTGATCCCACTTGGCCACCCCTGTCCCCACCTGGCCACACCTGACCCTACCTGGCCACACCTGATCCCACCTGACCCCACCTGGCCACACCTGACCTCACCTGGCCACACATGGCTACAGTGTTCCAGAGCCCTCGGGGCCAATCTTCTAAGCCTTGAGCTGCACTCCGGGGCAGTGAGCAGCTCAGGCATATGCTGCAGGGCTGAAAGGAGTCTGGTGGTTTATAGTCAGTACCCAAAACTGGGTTAATAAAATACTGTTTTTGCTTTTATAGGACAGAAGAGGAGAAGAAAGAATGGATTCAGGTGAAGCTCCTAAAGTTTTAAAATAACCAAATGACCAAATTCTTGAGCAGTATGGCTATTTCATGTTGGAGTAGGGATGGGTGGCTCCGTGCCCCCCAGGCGTTGCCCCCCATCTGACTGCCTTGAAGGGACGAAGTGACCACATTCATAGGCACCTTCAGACAACACAAGCCTTTCAATCTATTTGCCTGTTTGGGGCCCCTGTAAATAAACAGACATAAAGGGCCTGGAGAGGCAGCATGCGGGGAGATGCCCTCATCCCCGGGGCGGATCTCTACTGGCTAGTGGCTCTGAGTTGAACCCACGTCACCCTCTCTCTGTGGTGAGCCGTGGGGGACAAGAAGTTAGACCTCCAGGATGGAGCCTGTGCTTCCAGAGACAGGCCGGGCGGGGAGGCGGGCAGCGTCTTGGGGCAGCCAGAGCAGACACTGCTCAGGACGGGCCACAGTGTGGACACCAGGGACAGAGACAAGCCTGTGAGGGCGAAGGTCAGGAGGGCAGCGGCAGAGCAAGGCAGAGCTGCAGGGAGCCCAGCACGGCCACCACCAGGCCAAACGCTAACTGTCAGGGACTCACTGCTTCTGGAATCCGTACGACAGAAAGCTGGGTGAGACGAGAATCAGAAAATTCAAGCAGAGATTAGGCAGGATCGCTGACGCAGAGATGGAAACTGTCCTAGAGTCTGTGTAGAAAGTTCTCAGAGAGCGTCCACCTGTGGCCGGGAGCACTGTGGGGGACCCGCCGCGTGTGGGGTGGCACCGGCCTGTGGGGTCGGGGTGTGGGGATCTGGTCGGTTGTTGGCCGTGGCCCTGAGCCTCGTTCCTCCTTGACTTCGTTTGCCGACGCGCGGTTGCTGGTCGGGGGAAACTCGGTGACTACAGGACCCTGTCTCGCCCTCCGGGGCGTGCTCTCTGAGGGCCTGCGCTCTTGTGGTTTCTTTTCAGGTCATTGAGGCCACCATCGAGAAGCACAGACAGAACAGCCAGACCTTCAAGGCCTTCAGTGGCTCCTTTGGCCAGGATGAGGACCCTTCCTTCACTGCAGACCCGCCTGTGAGTGCCAGTGCCCCTGGGGTCATGAGAGGGACCTGCTGACGAGGGGACGTGGGTGCAGGGAGCTGGTGCCCACTGCTGGAGGCCCAGGCCTGTAGCACAAGGGCTGGTATCTGGGAGGGAAGCTGGTCCCCCTAGGTTCTCCCGTGACGAGGATGAGGGGGCTGGTGAACGGGTGACATGTGCTCATTGCCCACCCTTTGCTGAGCACCCCTGTGGGGACCACTGTGACAGGTGGCTGGGAAATCAACGCTCACGCCCCATGTGGAGCCGCCCCGGGGCCTGGAGGGGATCCCGGAAGCAGGGTCCCTACTCAGGGCTTGATGGGGGAGGTCAGGGCTACAGCTACCCCACAGGGCCTGCCCTGGGCCGCAGCCGCCTCCTCTGTCTTGGCATGACCACAGACGACTTCAGAGTGAGGGTCCCTCACTCCCTTCCTCCTGTCAGGGGTGTCCCAGAAGCTGAGAGACACCCAGCCCAGCCTGGCCAGCAGCCCTGAGTCCCAGACACCAGGCCCAGCTGGCCCTCCCCGCGGCCTCACCAGGTCTGCAGCCTGCAGGCTACCTCGTTATCCCCTAATACTTGGGTCAAATCTACATGCTTTTTTCCGCTTTCCGGACTATTTTGGAAGAAAACTTTGCATCGTTCCTGGGCAGAGCAAGTATTGTCCCCTGCCTGGACCGGAGGCAACCGGGAAACAGAACCCCTCATCCTGTGGTGAAGGCACAGAGGAGGAGCCTGACCATGGAAGGGGGCACAAGGCTCTCCACAAGGATGACCGAAAGGGAGCTAGAACCAGGGCCACCTCACCGCCAGGGTGAGGTGGCCTGTAGACGGCCACGCCCAGTGGGCCTCCAGGAGCTTCAGGCCCACCCGCCCCCTGCCCCCCAAGCTGGGCCATAATAACCCTCGTGAGACGCCTTCAGTTACCAGGGAGGAGCGGATTCCCAGAGTCACAGCAAACGCTAGGCTCCATAGTCTTTCTTCTGACCCTGTGGTCAGACAGAAATGCTGGGGTGTTCCCAACGGTCACTGCTGCATTGGACTCAGCATGTGGCCATGGAACCTCCTCTCATGCCAGCTGCCTCTGTTCCTCCCAGATGCTGAGCGCCAGCTCCGGGGAGCCCTCAGTGGCCGACGGTGGAGGGAGTGCCGCAGGGGTGAGTGACCCCCAGCTGTTGGCAGGATTGGAAGGTGGAGAATGGGATCAGATGGGGGAACCGAAGGGTGAGGTCAGACCAGGGGGACCCGAGGGTGGGGTCAAGTCAGGGGGGCCCGAGAGTGGGGTGAGACCAGGGAGGCCGGAGGGTGAGGTCAGACCAGGGGGGCCCGAGGGTGGGGTCAGACCAGGGGGGCCCGAGTGTGGGGTGAGACCACGGGGGCCCGAGAGTGGGGTGAGACCAGGGGGGCCCGAGGGTGGGGTCAGACCAGGGGGACCCGAGGGTGGGGTGAGACCAGAGTGACCTGAAGATGAGGTTCCAGGGCTCAGCCCCCCAGGTGTGACCTGCGTCCCCACAGTGATGACCTCTAGGGCCTGATCTTGGAGGGCTCGGGGAAGCCCATTGGACCCGAATGTCCGTTTCCCCGGGTGGGTGGAGGTCACAAAGCGAGTTCTGGAGATCTGCGCTTCTTACCGTGGGCGGAATATGCCTGCATAAACGTGAATGGAGGTGGTGCCCAGCCCTTAGGAGGCTCAGTCGCCTGGAGAGGAAAGGTCAGCCCCATGGACTGGGGGTCAGGTGGGCGGGCAAGGGCCCTGCCAGGAGAGCCTGCAGGTGTGCTATCAGGGAAGGCTTCTCGGAGATGGCATCAGACCCATCCGTCGGGCCCAAGAGGATGGAGGGAGGGTCTCGCTGCAGGCCCCGGTGGATGGACCCCAGGGAGGCGGTGGTGTCCGAGACCCTCACCCTGAGCTTGTGCACCTTATCTCCACCTGGGGCAGTGCAGGCGGGAAAGGCGAGGCCTGGGGTCAGGCAGTGTGTCCACATCCCCGTCGTGCCAGGGCCGGGCCGGGGGCCGTACACAAGCCCATCCCACTCCATTAGGGGTTTGGGAGACGCAGTAGGAGGCCGAGGGTGTGCGTGGCAAGCAGTGGGCGTTCATACAGCCAAGCGTCACCTTTAACCGCTGGGCCTACGGTCCTGAACTCTGGTGACAGTTGTAACCCCAGGCCACCAGATGAGCCTGCACCGCATTGTGCTCGATGCTCCAGGCTCCCTCGCTGCCTCCACCCTTCTCCAGGCTCAGGGCGGTGAGTGGAGGCCGAACCCCAGCCCAGCCCTAGACGGAGGTCTGCTCCTGAGAGGGGCCTCTCCCCAGGGTCGATGCGGTCCCCCACATTCTCTCCAACATGCCTGCCTCCCCTACCCCCCGCCCCCTCATGCCCCTCACCCCTTACCCCTCACCAGGCTCCCAGGCAGGTGCTCCCAGGTGGATGGCAGAGACCAGCTGGAATTTCACACCAACCCCCAGAGCTCCTCCTTTCTGGCTACAAGCCCACCCTGTTAGGTCATCGCAGCCCTTCTGGGTTGGAGGTCATTACGGTCAACCCCGTTTTAGAAGAGAAAACGGGCTTGATGGGTGCAGGGCCTGGCCTTCTGGCTTCAAACCCCGTGGCATTGGACACACTTAGGGCAGCAGTGGAGGGAGGCCCCACTGCCCCACTGGCACGGGGAGTAAGCGCTCCTGTCCAGACGTGGGTTTTTAGCACAGAAACATTAGTCCCCCTCCCATGCCAGCAGTGTTTCCCACACGGATCAGCCCATCAGGAGCTTTCCGAATCGCCAAACCATCCACGTGAGCCTGGCGGGGCTCCACTGGGCTCTTTTCTGGAATGTCTAGGAAAAGCGGCTCGCACACTCGTGTGTTGTGTATGTAACTGCCAGCAGCCAACGACAGATGGGGCCTCACGTGCGTGTGCGTGAGGCACTCCCCAGTCAGGTTGGGGAGCCAAGCTGGACCCCACGCAGGACCCTCACCATCTGGCCCTTGGCCCTGGCACAGGCCCG